AGCTAACTTATGCGAATCCTTCAATTTCGACTTACACTATTGTACATTTACAATTAAATGCTTGTCTTCCATTCGCATTAACTGAATTTCACAATCATATAGACCCTATCTGAGCACTTATATAAAAAATGTTCAGTTAAAATACTCGAAATGAAACTCAAGAAGACAAGTGATAACTTGCTACATTTATATCTCAGCTAGCTGCATTGAATCAAGAAAGCTAAGAAATATCAGCCACGTACTACTATGTGTGGGTTGTGCCCTAGCAACAAGGTATATATCCGCGATGAATCAATGCATTGAATTTCAAAAAACCAATGAGTGAATGAATAAATGAATGAGAAATTCCAGAACTTGTGAGGACATTGTGAAAGGAAATGAAACACTGAAAATTAAATCGCTCAATGCACTGCAAATCGCTCAGTAAACTGCAAAAAAAGTATTATATACGCGAAATCATAAAGCGAATATCTGCTGCTGCTGCAAAACGATATCTGTCTGGAAAACGAACCAAAAACAAAGTATAAAAATGTAGAAATCGATTCAACGATAAAGCAAAAACACAAACAAAAAATCGCTCAGTAAACTCCAATTCATTTCCGTTTTATCGACATCTCATCAACATTACAATGATTAATCTTCATCCATTTTTAACACTTCTAACACTGGATCTCTCGTCATGAAACAACAACAACGAAATGACGGGCGATTNAACAACAACAACAACAACAAGCCAACGATTACATTATGAATCACTAAATACATCTGATCAATAACACAAAATCAACATCTTCGTACGACTTCAACACAAAACTCTCCCAAAAATCGCTAAACCTAAACATTCCTATCATTCCAATGTGATTGCTCACACTCTCGTAGACAACATTTCGACAAGCCATTCGGACAAGTCCTAAGTACACCACACTCAACACAATAATTGAAAACAATCTCAAACAATACGTAATCTAAAATGAACGAAAGAACTTCACAAAATCCATAATCAAACATTTCAACGATATTTCAACAAGAATAAAATCTTCAAATCCTTCTTGCTTCAGATTACAGATAAGTGCAACTATAAGACACCATTAAATACCTCGCTTACATCAAAAATAAAAATATTTCGTTTGCAAAATGAAGCGGTCGGTACTTGGATGGCACTTACAATACATCATGAACACAATCGAAAATATTGCTGCAATGCTAAAGCAAACGAAAAATTCCGCACACACACACACACGATGTGCTGCTTAACTCGTAAATGATTCCATTCACGAAATACACCAACAAATAATGACTATGGCGCGAGAATGTATTCATTTCTACGAGTTAGTTAGCTAGTTATCTTTTCAAACATCTGCAAAATATTTCAAATTTTTTCCTGTCTGCTCAGAACGCAGCCGGGCGGCCAACTAACAAACCGCGCTGCCACAAGGCAACAAACATCACCAC